TTTAAGAGGCTCGCAATGTCATTGAAACTGTGTTATCATTTCAAGACTTCTATACAGCCTATTTAAAAATTGAGTTTGAAAATTTATACTTGCTTGTCATTACTAGACAAAATAATCATCCATCTTAATTGCCTATCTTTTTACCGAAGTAACAGAGAAAGAGAATGAACATTTTTTAGCTTGACACCATAGCGCTATGTAATTGAACTTGGAAGACAGTCACTTTGTTTACTGAATATTTAGCAAATTTTCCACAATGCGAACAAAAGTCTGTCAGTTTGCGCGAAGCATTTTAAGTCTTGCTAGGCTAGAGGTATGTGAATCATAACTATTGTAAGAACCCTCTTTGGACAAATTATAAAGACATCATTCTAAAGAAAATGACAAGTGATGTAACATGTTTATCCTCTATAAGCAGGAGGTTATTTCGTGTCGAGTCGAAAAATACTCTATTTAAACGTTTTCCAAATCATGAGAAATGTGTTTGCACACGCTACAACTTTAAGAAGACTATGCAGGAAAAAAAACTAGCATTCCTTGCATTTTATGACTCAAACTTTCAGTAAAGTTGGTCTTTGGATGTTTATAATAAAATTATTCAAACATCTACATGCAGAGTAAGGAAGACTACTGCCGATCCTGCCAATATCTCACCAATAAGCTTACAAGCTATCCAATGATGAACTAAATAATACTGCAGCACTAAGGAGACTACAAATAAGTGCTAAACATTTGATATAACTACAGTTATTGTTAAGATTAAAATAAGGTGAGAAAGTACGTATCTCAGTTTCTCAGTTATTTGAGATGACTTCTAACCAACTCCAGCAAAATTCAAGCTTTAGAGTTTTATGTTCTATTACAATGGTATACTGCCGAAGTATGTAACGATAGTCTACCACATTCTGAGCTGAAATCTTAAACTGCGCCCGATACTGACATGGGTTAAAAGAAAGTACAGCAAACAATCACTTGCTTAGTTTATGATATAAATCATGATGGTAAAAGCAAACAAAAAACAATTGGTTTTTGCGTGGTTCATGATAAAAATTATGACAGTGGAAGTACGATAGCAAAGTGATTAGTTAATGATATAAGAATAGATTAGACTAGATAACGAAAATGCAAAAAAAAAAACAATTTTCTCAAGAAAAACATATTTGATGCAAGCTAAAGTAAAACAATCGATGATGAGCTATAGTGCCAGCGACTCTAAAATCGACCAGCGTTATCGACTCGATAAAGATCAGAGTAGATCAAATGCTACCACAAATTGCCGCTTTCATTATATTTCAGAAAAACGGAAGAAATTCTAGCTATTTAGTCAGATTATCGGTGATCTCTATTAGGGAAAACATTGTCAGCTCAGAAATTTGTGGAACATCTTAATTTTGAAAAACATCTACGTGCACAATGTAAATTGATCGATATGAACGTTTAGTGCAGTCAAAAGGGACTTCATATCGATCTGTCACAATGTTTTGCTAAAACTTAGCAAATTTAAAATGTAGTGAAATTCGACTTTGGAAGGAGCTACTCTCTCGGTAAAAAAAAAACTTATAGGCATAGCACAATGAAATTAGATTT